ACTGGTGTAAAGGGAAAGATGGGATGTCATCCTGCAGCATTGTGACACCTAGTGACAGGGTGTCCATCACTGATGATCCACATAACTTAGTCTTCATTGTGACCATGAGGAACCTGCAGAAGTCAGATGGCGGCAGGTACTGGTGTGCTGTGGATGATGGCTGGACACATAAGGCCACCTCTGATGAAGAATACATGCTGATTACTACAGGTATGTTATTTAATCATCTTCTTCCTAAAAGCACATTCATTTGTAGTACCTTACAAAAAAGCAATTGCATTATAAGCAACATCACAACAATTATATAAAAATATATCCTTTGCACAGCGCTGGCTAAAATAGGATAAAATAAGATCAAAAATAGCAGAGGGATACATGAAGTGTACAGGTAGAAACACAAAAGGCAACAACAAAGACAAAGTGCAAAGACAGTGTGAACAATGTTGATCAGGAAATGAACAAAGAGATGAAAATTAATTACCACGTGGTGCATGTGCAGTTGACATAATGACAGACTGGTGCTGCCTGTTTTTACAATGAAACGCCGTCCTGACGCGTCCTGGCTGGGGGTGATGGCTGGTGCATCTGCAGGATTCACGCCTCCTGGTTTATGTTAAATATTCCTACAGGAGCCTGAACACCTGAATATTTACACACGTCCCCCAATAGTACATGTGCAAATGTATATATGATAAGCAGATGGAAGCTGGATGATTCATATACTTTTCCAATGATAATTCTATGACTGACGGTTTGTTCTCCTACAAGATAAAGAAAGAAGTTCCACCCTGAAGACATTCAGTTATTTAAGAGGACAAACGGGAGGATCCATCACCATCCCGTGTTTCTATGGTCAGGAGCATAAAAACCATGTGAAATACTGGTGTAAATCAGGAAATCGCCCCCCCTGCACATCAGCTACTAAAGCGACACAGACCATCGCTGATGATCCTGATAACTTAGTCTTCCTAGTTACCATGACGAACCTGCAGCAGTCGGATTGGGGACATTATTGGTGTTCTCTGGGTGAAGGAAAAACTACGGAAACGTCTGTCAGTCTGTTCTTCCTGGTTACTCCAAGTAAGCTAATATAATCTCTGTCTTATTAATGTCAATGTAATTTCACCCCAGCTTCAGTTCATTGCTGCTAATGATGAGGCTTCAGAACCATTTATCAGTTTTGTAGGAAATATATTGGGTTGTGAATCATCTCCTACATCTTTCTTCTGTATTCCTTGCCTCTGTGTAAAATAGACCCCAGTCTCTACGTCAAACTCAGGCCTGTTAACCCTTTATTGACCAGGAGATTTCATCTCACTTGGTTGTTCCTCCCTGATTCTACAGTCATAAGTTACCTGCATGTTCATTCTGTATTATTATATGTTTCTGATGCTCCATCATTCATGTTCTCTCCCCATAGATGCTCAGAGTCTGAGGACTGAGAGCTGGGTTTCTGCACCAAGAGGAGGATCTGTCACCATCCCATGTTACTATGATCAAAATTATAAAGATAAACCCAAATACTTGTGTAGAGGATATGAATGGGATTCCTGCTCCAG